GATTTCACCCATGTTTCACTCTCACATGCTGGCGTATGTCCACTCTACAGAGCAAAGGCAAAGAGACCAGATAGATCCAAATAGTCCAATCAGAAGCTGCTGATAGTTCACTCCAAGCAGCGCGAAGCCTGTTGGAGATTTTCTACACGTATCGAACAGAACCGAAGGCTTAAGAACATCAAATATGGGTTTCACTCCCGGGAAGGGTACCATCAGTATCGCCACTATTCGCAACGGACACTTCTCACATTGCTTTCAGGCCTCTGGTTGGCTGGAATGTTTGGCACCGGCAACATAGCCACCAAAGCCTGTTGGGAAGAACATGCAAACCATTGGATCATATTGGATCATATTGGTACATTGGAGAAGTGACATCCTGGAACATCCTGGAACGTCTCAGATTCCCTGAGCAATCTGAGCACAAAAAGGAATTTGTTTGGTCTGCAAAAGCAAACCAACAATGTGTGCAGGACTGGACGGCCAATGTAGTGAACTCTTTGATTGAAGAATCACTCGGAATAAAGGTGGAAAAACAGTGGAGATGCCCTAAAAAGAAGAAGCCCCATGCGACTATAGCATGTCTCTGCCCAAATGCAAATCTGTGAGCGAAAAGAAAGTGAATCAAAAATTGCTCGAGACTTGTCAACACCGCGAGCGGTGTATTTTTGGGGTCACGAATTCTTTGGCACCTGCACCACGCTTTACTGCCATCAGGGCGGCTTCAGCAGCAGTGGGAGCACCTCTAGAGCAGGCAGAGGATTTTAAGCAATTTAGAAAATATTAAAATCATTTAATAAATATCATATATTACAGTATCATGCGGAATCACACAGTATGACTCAATATCCCAACGATCCCCAAAGACGATCAAAATTATTTGCGCGTTGATCCAGTTTGAACATGTTTTCCGACTCTACTGCTCAGAATCCCTGTGGCGGCATCCATATTCTTGTTCCTCAGTATGCACCAGAGTATTTGGACGACAATGACAGGGCTACGCAGTGAAAACAGCACTTGAAACGAACACCTGCTAGCTAGAACTGGGTAAACATTATATACACGGGCGACATCATTTCATTTAAAAGAATCTCGCAAACCTCATATGGAATTCAAAATATTCAAAAACGAAACCCATCAGCCTTGCCTGGTGGGACCTCCAAATGCCCATCCTCTGTTGGTTGGAAGCCCGCCGCACTCAACCTCAGCTAGGACTTGCCATGCTCAGCGACCAGAATATGGCAGACGTCTGGAAAGTGACCAACCAAGGTCCAAGGCAAACCGTATCAAGCTGCCAAGTTCGCAACAAAGACCCTTTGATCGCAGTCAAGAAACAGAATTATGTGCCTGCTACTTTCTACTACACATGCTCTGCCCCTTGCTACGAAGAAACATTCTTTGCAAGTCTAGAAGTCTAGAACTGAGATTCAAGCAATTCAAGTGCACCCTCATGGCGAAGAAGGTCGTTCTTTAGCTTCTCACTCTTTGGGTTCCTGAAGCGGAATGTTCAAGTTTGGATATGAAGGGAAGACCCGTCAATCCTTTGAACCATGCCTGCACAAATCTCAGGAATGCATACTTCCGATCTCCAAGCCAAGCCCTCAGCTTGAATCATGTTTGTCCAAAATGCAACCAGGACGCAATCGTCGAAATTTGGACTCCTTCGGGTTGTCCTTGAGGCTTGCAACTTTGAATCTTCAGCCAGTGAGGCAGCTTGGTTTTCCAGAGGTGATGTTGAGTTCTTGATTCAATACAATAGGGGGCGAAATTAAGTTGGCAATTTTTTTTTGTGGGGGGGAATTTTTTGGGGGGTCGTCCAGGTTCCCTTCATTGGTTCTTGCGGCTAAAATCTCTCATTTGCTGCATTTTGTAGCTAAAATCTCTCATCCGCACTGTTCATCAATTATTCCACTGGTTTCAGGATTTGTTTTCATGGTGTTTATCGAGTGTTCCATCGTTTTCATTGGTTTGTCCATGGTTTTCTTCAATTTTTCCATGATTTTCTTCAATTTTTTCATGGTTTTCTTCAATTGTGCCATGTTTTTTTTCCGATTGTTCGATGGTTTCTTCCATTTTGCAATGGTTTCTTCCATTTTTCAATGGTGTTCTTCAATTGTTCTATGTTTTTCTTCAATTTGTGCATGGTTTTCATTCAGTTTTCACTTGTTTTTATTGATTGTTCCAGAGTTTTAATTGATTTTTACATGGTTTTCATTATTTTCTCCGAAATGTTCATTGATTTTTGGAAATACACGATGTGCAAACTATAAATTGTAGACGTATAGAGGTATACATGCATGACTAATCATGACTATATGTATATGTGGATCAGTGTATTTACACGTGTATTTAATAATATATATGCAGGGTTTGGTTTAGGGTTTATTTAGGGTTGGTTTATGGTACCTAGTTTTTTCTAGATTTGTTTCGGGTCTATTTCGAGTTGGTTTAAGGTTTCTTTAGGGTTGGTTTAGGGTCTGTTCAGGGTTTGTTTAGGGTTGGATTAGGGGTTATTTAGGGATACAACATTTATATACAAATAGCTATAATTATGTGGATCCATATCCATGCACATAATGATTTATATATATTTTGGGATGAAAGCTGTGTGTATAAACAACGATATATGTATATATATATAATGATATATATATATATATACATATAAATCTATAATTATATATATACGTGTGTGTATATATTCAAAAATACATACATACATACATACATATATATATATACATATGTAAGTATATGTAAGTACATGTAGATATAAATATATATGTATGTATATATGTATACAAATAATTGCACAATGATGCACAATAAATTCATTGGATGTTATCATTGTGTTGGTTTAAGATCTCTTTATATTATATATTCTGGCTTGGTTCAGGGTTGGTTTGGGTTTTCAACATCATTTCGATGATAATGCAAACCTTTTAGATAGATAGAGATAGAGATAGAGATAGAGATACAGATAGAGATAGAGATAGAGATAGAGATAGAGACAGAGATAGAGATAGAGATAGAGAAAGAGAAAGAGATAGATATAGATATAGATATAGATGTAGATATAGATAGATATAGACATAGACATAGACATAGATATAGATATAGATATAGATAGATATAGACATAGATATAGACATAGATAGACATAGATAGATATAGATAGATAGAGATAGATATAGATATAGATATAGATAGATATAGCTAGATATAGACATAGATATAGACATAGATAGATATAGATAGAATTATATAGAATTATATAGAATTAAAGAATTATATAGAATTATATAGAATTAAAGAGATAGATAGATAGATAGATACATACATACATAGATACATACATAGATGGATAGATAGATAGATAGATATAGATATAGATAGATAGATGGATAGATGGATAGGTAGATAGGTAGATAGGTATATAGGTAGATAGATATAGATAGAGTTAGAGTTAGAGATAGATGGATGTGTATCTAACGCACAACATGCACCTGGTGAACATGCTTCATTGATAGATTGATCGATAGATGATAGATGAGCCACAGGAGCCAGGAGCCATAGAAGCCATAGAAGCCACAGAAGCCGCAGAAGCCACAGAAGCCACAGAAGCCACCAGGAGCCACCAGAAGCCACCAGGAGCCACGGAAGCCACGGAAGCCACGGAAGCCACCAGGAGCCACCAGGAGCCACCGGAGCCACCAGGAGCCACCAGGAGCCAGGACCGTAGAAGCCACAGAAGCCACGAAGCCACCAGGAGCCAGGACAAAAAAAATGCCAAAAAAATACCCCTCCAATATACAATATATTATAATTCAATAATTCACTTTTCCAGATTCCAAACTGCGGCTGGATCGCCACAAGCCTGTGCAAGTAATACGGTTTTTGTGCAAGTTGTGGTATCGTTGGCACTTCCAGCACTGTATACTGGCACGGCACACAATTTCACACACTACCTTGCATCATTGAAACACAACAAATTGACAAATGCTGCTTCGGAATGGTTCAAGCATGTTCACACAAACATCCGGCAATGCCCGCGTGCTCCTACTGTAAATCTCAGTCAGACTCAGCGTGTTTGTGCGCGCACTGATCGTGAATGAACTGCTTGTCTCGTGATGGTTCCAAGTTGCTACCAGATTTCCGAGAATACGGCTCAGCAAGCTCAGTGCCTTCAACAGATTCCATCCGGTCCAGTCAGATCGCAGAAAGTCAGGTTCCAAACATAAGAATTTGATATTAATTTACCAGATTGGATTTTGTCAAACATCACACTGATTCTGCTTGCTAAGGTCTGCTGCAGCCATTGCACCAAAAGGACAAAGAAAAAAATTTAATGTTATTGAATGGGACACTCATCCCATCACTGTTTCTGTCCTTTGCCTTCAAGGTTGCACAGAACAAACATGTCCATCATTCCCCAACAAATCCGTATGTCAGTGTGTGCGTGTGTGTGTTTGTGAAATAGTCAGAGCTTTCGGATGCTGTGTTAGTTTGTCGTCCTAGTCCCTGTCCCTCGCACCGTCTCTTGCTGACCGCCAGCAGCAGTGCAGAGTCTGTGCAGCTGCTTCTCAATTGCCATTGTCAGGGCTTGGGTCGCAACTGCACCAGGACGAAGTACAAAGTCGGAAGAAGTGTTGGTCGAGCTTCAAATATTGAACTGTACCAAGAAACCCTGTCATTGTTCAACACATGAGGTTGCTAATGAGAAGGGTGGTCGGTCCTTTGCGTGTTCATCATTTAAGTGGCGATATGCTTGAGCCATGCCACCACGCAAGCCGCAATCCACAAGGCCCTCTGAGGACGGCAGCAAACTTGAGATCAAAACACGGAAGTCACTCAAGAGCCATATCTTGCCATATCTTGCCATCCACCAAATCAACTGTTGCTGCAACTTGCGAAAGCTTGGAAGTTTTTTTACTGCAGGATGGATTTGAGCGACCTGGAACTGACCCAGTCTTAGAGCCACATGACTCAAATGACCGTCCAGCCTCTGCGTCTTCTTCCCACATAGCCTGCGCCTTAGCAACGCGTTTAACCCATCAGTGTCGGCAAGTTCTGAATCGCTCCCTATCGGTCTTCCTGAAAACCACACTACCGTTCACTACCGGATGGTTCAGGGCCTTTGGACAGAAAGCAGGTTCAGTCTCCACAGTTTGCATGTCTGGTGTTCTTCTGAAAGAGAAGAGAGGCAATCTTTGGACCAGCAAAAAACATCATGTTCTGCTAGAATGGTAAGGTGTGGTTCTGCAAAAGAGGCAGCGGCCTTCTGCATCTTCACTTCAAAGCCATGAGCACCTTCAACTGCTAGAGCTGCTTGCTAGTGCCCTACAAGCACAAAAAGGTGTTTCACAAGAAAATACAAGAAGTAATTGTGTTTGACGGTGATAGGTTGGTTTCGGCTAACGTAAGAAGTGGCATGCACGCTGTCATAAGATGTCAGAAGAAAGTATTTTCGATTTGACTCCACCCCAAAAGGAATGACTTGGAAAAAGGCGTTCGGTATAACCGCAGATATCAATTCTTGCCTGCAGGCGTCTTTGCAATCTCTGAGTTGATCTCCGCCTGGGTCTGTGCAAAGTCATGTGCTTCATGGGTGGTGCATGTTTTGGTGTCTGTGCCCGAATTCTTGCCCCAGAAAGAAATCCAAGTTCTGGAAACTCATATGAAAAGGCATCGCCATAGCGGAGCGTTCACAAACTACCCGCCGGGTTGGAAATGGGCCGAGTAAAAACAGCATTTTCATGTGACTGGCAAGAAGTCAATCATGTGTTTCGCAGTGTTTTTTCATGTTTTTATGTTGTCCATGAAGGTCAATTCTATTGTGATTTTGAATTTTCATTGGGATTTACTGTATATAGTTGACATGTCGGAGTGCGAAAAAGGTTCCTTTTGGGAAGTCAGCGTGCCCAAAACCTCAGCGGCAGCCATTTTTTCCGGTGATCTCTACATTTTCGCTAAGTACGCACCTGTTTTCTCCAACAGGGCTTTTCCAACTACATTTGCCTCCCATCGCCACTGCCATGTGCGAACGTACGTCCAAATGAGGTCATTCAATTTTTGTTCAACTGATCGGGAACACTGGCAAGTACGTGAACGTTATTACCCCGCCCCACCCCACCCCACCCCTGCGTGACGTGACACGTCTTCAACGTAGCATGACGTATGTGCGCACGTGCAAGTGAACGTGCCGTGGCGGAACATCATGGGAGTGCGCAAGTACGTGAACGTTATTGCCCCACCCCACCCCTGCGTGACGTGACACATCTTCAACGTAGCATGACGTATGTGCGCACGTGCAAGTGAACCTGCCGTGGCGTAACATCATGGTAGTGCGCAAGTACGTGAACGTTATTACCCCACCCCACCCCACCCCAAGGAACATATATAAAAATGCCTAAAACGCTCGGACGGTTTTCAACCCGTAGGCACAAACTACAATGAAAGCTGGAGTCAGAGATGAAAAGCTAAACAAAAATTGGAATCACAATCTTTAGGGTCTACCTTGATCACGCCTCACTCACCCAAGGACCGTAACAGTTTCATCATATATATTTGAACAAACAATTTGCTTATTAAACAAGCCTTTAAAAATTACGGTCATGTTATACATTCTTGTATGCAAAATCCCGCTGATGTGGGCCAGGCAAGTGTCTTGTGATCTGTGATGAGATCTGTGATGTATGGTGATGTGCCATGTAAAACAACAGCCTTGCAAAACTCCTACGCGGCCTGCGAGCACAGGCAGCACGGGGTGATGAGATTCCCCAAACTTCCCAAACTTTCTACTCGGACCGTCCCGAACTTCCTACTCTCTCCCCTTTCGCCAAGGAGTCACCATGAAAGCGTCCAAGGGGTCTTCCTCGCCAGGCCTTGGATCAATTCTCGCCACTGCCCTGGTGGAAATTAAGGGACTTTTGGTTGTTGCTCAAAATCGCAACATTCGTAAATTCAATGGCTTGTCGGTAAAATGCCCGAAGAAGTGATCCATTGAACCAACAGCCTTAGTATGTAAACAAGTCACAAAAAGAAGCATGTGCCTTGAAAATTCTTGTGATATCTTATAATCACAAACCTAAACGAAGCCCCAGCGGCAGACGGTTTCATTCTGAATCCTTCCGATTGCAGGAATGCATTAGAATCACTAGAACATGACATTTGCTCTCGGAAATCTCGGAAGACAGTGATGTGCAGTACATTCGCTCTCTGAGCAGGTCTGGTTCTTGACTGCCAAGCCCCGAGCCCAGCGCTGAACCGCACACGTGCAGCCTGACCTCAACAAGTTCCAAAGGCCTTGAACTGCCCCGACTAAATGAAAAGCGGTAAAGTTGGTGCAAAGTTTACCACACTCAGAGAGAATTCTTCATAAATCTAGATGTGAGTGTGGATCATGTGGATCATGTGGATCATAGCAACAGGTGCAAGGAATGCCTTTGTTTCCGTAAATCCTCTGATTGGACCAGTGAGGACAGGTGATATAGGTACAAGTAGTCTAGGTACTGTTCGAGACACTTCTTTGTTATGCAATCAGTTATATAGTTTTTTTAAAGTTTTTTTGTCAAATCGAAGAGGGGCCAACGATTGAAAAATTTGCCTGGCACTGGCATCTTTCCCACACAACTGGAGTTCAAACAGGAGATTGTTGGTGCATGGAATGTAGCATCGCTATTGTTTCAATCACATATCTCTCTTTGAAAACTCTCAGGGTTTAAATGCTATTTGTTTTTGACTTGCAAATAGAATCTGACTCTACGTCTAGTTACCAGTAGTACCACACAAGGCGGTGGCGGAAGTTTCAAAAATAGGGAACCTATAGGGGAGGTTGGTTGTGGTGAGTCACGGATGGCAGAGCGAATCCACTGACCGAAAGGTGGTTGAGGTCTCCTCTCTTTCTCTCTCTCTCTCTCTCTCTTTCTCTCTTTCTCTGACTATCTACCTACCTATCTACCGATCTATCTATGCATCTATCTATCTATCTGTCTGTCTGTCTGTCTATCTATCTATCTTTCTTTCTATCGATCTATCTATCGATCTATCGATCTACCTATCTATCTACCTACCTATCTATCTACCTACCTATCTATCTATCTATCTCTATCTATCTATCTATCTATCTATATCTATCTATCTCTATCTATCTATCTATCCATCTATCTATCTATCTACCTATCTATCTATATATCTGTCTATCTATCTATCTATCTATCTGTCTGTCTATCTATCTATCTATCTACCTATCTATCTATCTATCTATCTATCTATCCATCTCTCTCTCTCTCTCTATCTCTCTGTCTGTCTGTCTATCTATCTGTCTATCTGCAAGCTTGAAAACGACTGCGAGACTTCCTCAGCTTTTGAACTTGACAACATCAAAAACGCAGCAATTCTGCGAGACTTCCTCAGTTTTTGAACTTGACAACATCAAAAACGCAGCAATTCTGCGAGGCATCCTCAATTTTTGAACTTGACAACATCAAAAACGAAACAATTCTTCGAGACTTCCTCATTTTTCGAAGTTGACAACATCAAAAACGAAGAATTCTGCGAGACTTCCTTCAAAAATGGAAAGTTGAGTGCAGAGCTGACGGCCTCGTACCAATGCGTTTTGCGATTTTTCCAGTCCACCTGTCTAAAGTACTGCGCCTGCCACGAAAAAGTGATGCCAGGTCATACGAAGTGCTGCACTTGTCACACAAAATCATCTCAGCAAACCTGAAGATCTGATGCTCCAAAATGCAACCCTTCTCAGGAAATCAGCGCCCGGACCTCCTAACAGCTCTGATGAACATGTCTCTTGCACTGCGCCTGCCACGGAGAATGCATCTTTGCAGATCCTCTTCAAATGTCCCACGCCTGCCATCGTTTTTGGAAATGCTACAAAACCCTCACGTTTTGCTCACTTTTGACAAGGTGCACAATCCCTTGCGCCTGCCACGCGAAACGACATCTGAATGTCCAAAAGTGGCGCAAGCATGTGGTGTTTCTAACATTTTGACTTCGAAATGTGCTTCACGCCACAACGGCGTGCACTTTTCGACATCTCACAACTTCCAAAAGTGGTCCGAACCTGGTGTGCTTTGTACTTTTTGACTTCGAAATGTGCTTCGCGCCACAACGGCTTGCACTTTTTCGACATCTCAACTTCCAAAAGTGGTCCGGGCATGGTGTGTTTTGTACATTTTGACTTGGACATGTGCTTCGCGCCACAACGGCGTGCACTTTTTCGACATCTCAACGTCCAAAAGTGCTCCGAACGTGAGGTGCTTTTAGCTTTTTCACTTGCAAATGTTCTTGGCGCCACAACGGCGTGCAATTTTTCATCTCTCATCTGGCCAACGGGCTCCGCACCCGCCGCTTTAGCGAGCCTACTTTTCGACCCTCCGCAGCCACAAATCATTGGAAAAACAGAGTGTTTTGCGACTTTCCTACCTTTTCGCGCACCTGCATTCTTTCTTCTGACTCTTTCTCTTCTCTGATCTTCTCTCTTCTGCTCTTCTTTTCTCTATGCTTCTGCTCCACCTCTGCTTTTCACCCGTCCATATTGTCGGAAGTTTGACTTCTAAACTTCCTTCGGCTATTTACGATATTGTATCCACATGTATGTGATGGGGGTGTATAGTGATCTAACAAAACTCTGCTGCTTTGAAACGTCCCATATTTCCACAGAACTGCCCAGAAGCGCCTGGCTCTGCGCCCTCATTGAAGTATGCCTGCAAACACTCTTTCAACGTGAGAGAAAGTCGAAGACTCTTGTGGGACTCACATTGAATGATCCTTTCAACGGTTTCGTGGTATCTCGCTGCTATCCTCGAAAACAATGTGCAGGAACTCTGCCTCATCTTCATCGTCTGCTAGATCCGGGCCGAGTGCCATGACCCCAGTGGCTTTGAACAACCGCTCTTTGGTTTCAAAATGACGGCTGACACGGCTTGCTACTGATTAGCACTGCATGACGACCTTTTTCCGTGCCTTCGATTCTGTCTTACAAAATTATATGCATGTATCTGAATGTCCATTTTCAGTTTGATTAGTCTCACCCAGCTTGATCATTGCAGTTCAAGCGATTTTCTGTTCTGGTGCCTGACTATAAAGCTAAGAGCGTGCATTCCACAATATACCATACTATTAAACTATGCAAAGACTGCAAAGAAAAACTGAATTGGATCACGTTCTCCGCATGACCGATGTGATCCATCTCATTCCAAAGTGCCGCCTCTGCCCTCTACTGAGAACTAGTAATCCGAGTTTTGCATTGCCTAGGTCACTTTCGCAAACTACCCCCGTAACTACCTTCTTCAGAAGAAGAAGAACTCTTTGGAGCGTGATAGCGCCGCCAAATCGACGCACCACAGCGGCCGCAGCCGCTAATCACCAGCTGCAGCGCCAGCGCTTGCCGCTCCATCAGCAGCAGCATCACCAGCGCCCGCGCCATCACTTGCCACCTCCGCATCATCAGCGGCGGCACCATCTGTTCTGTGCAGAGCGTCCCACAACGCGTGCTGCACGCATCCTAAGTACCTCAGAATTTCAGGATCGTTGTCCCACCCAAATCTCCAAGAGATAGCCTTGATGGGCATTGGGTGTGGCCTTAGATCAGCAACAGGACTGAGGACAGTGCCGGGCAAGATGTTGCCAAGAACCAAGGGTGTTGTGACAAAAGGGACACAATTCGCCCCTCCAAGCAGGACTCACACTGGCCCCAACTGACACTGTTCTGCAACCAGCACTGGTCGCAGCGACCTTACGAATGAGATCCCAGTCTAATGACAACAGGTCCTTAGCTTGTGTGCGATGCAAACCCTGCACTTCATGACGTGAGGTGTGAAGAACTTGATCCCAACACCACAGTCGCCAACCATCTCTGATAAGATGTTTACCAAGTTCAATGTGAAAAGTAGAATCGTGAAAATTGACGGCCAAATGAAAAGCATGGGTCCAATTCCACGGCCCTGATTCGGTCCAACCCTTGTCACGCATCCATTTTCTCAACGTAGCCACAGGAGTACCAGCAATAGAGTTCCAGGAAGCCAGCCCTTTGTTCCAGATGCCATACACAACACGGAGAAGGTTGGTAGCCGCGAGGATGTCAAGATGATTGAGTCCTCCATGAACCATAGCTCTGATCCATCTGTTTGCCATGTGGGTGACACGTTGTCCAGCCTTCAAAGCATTCCACAGCTTTGTGCAAAGCCCTTGAGTGGGGGAGCGACCAAGCCAGCCATATGTGACCTTACTGATGGCAAAATACCGGGAGTAGAAAGCATACCTTTCAGCCGACAGCCGAAGAGTAGCAAGGAGTTTGTACTGATTGCAAGCATCAGCCACGCGAGCATTCTCTTTGTCGCTATTTCTCCGAGGTGCCCCACGGGTGGACACCCCAAGGAACGTAGCTTCCGGGACAAACATGCTTTGGTTGTGCAAACACGCTTGAAGAGCCTCTTTGTTTTTGAGTGATCTGGCCGTGCATTGACCCTTTTCACTTTCACGAAGGCCAACTTGAGCAGACCATTCAGCCCATCCTTGAATAGTTTCCACCAAGCCAATAGCAGTGGTGCTAGTAAAGGAGCGATCATCCATGTAGTTGCTAGCAGCACCAACCACATGCGGAAGCCTTCGTCGAATGTATCCCTGGCCAGCACTGAGATACAATGCAATCATCAGGGGTCCCCACGGATCACCCTGAGGAACCGCCATGTGCCCGGAACACAAAGTCGTGTGATCCGTCACTTGTTGCCAAGTGCACCAACGGACATGCTTCGTCCAAAAGTGACTACACAAATCGCTCATCAAATGACAGAAACCATTTTGTTTGAGGAGGGCACAGCAAGCACTGGGCCTCAAGAGGTCAAAGCATTTCGTGAAGTCCAGGGAAGCCAAATAGCCATGTCTACCATAGGCATCCAAAATTCCAGCTGCACTGGTTTGGGCATCAGATTGCTTGCCGTAAACAACAGATTCATCCAAAACTTCCGAGATCCAAACAGTCATGTGACTTGTTGGAAGCCATGCACTGAGCCATATCCGCCACCAGGCAGATAGCACGGTGATAGGACGAACATCAGCAAGTCTGCAAAGACCCTCCGCAACTTTGTTAGGCTTAGGCATGAAAACAGCTCTAGATTGTAGAAGGATAGTGGGCACCGACCCTTGTCGAAGCCAGCTCGCACTCAAAACCGTAAACAGTTCCCAGACCCCAAGAGGCAAAGAGCCAAGTTCCTCGCCAGTCCATCCATCGGCACCTGCAGAACCGCGGCTATTCGCAGCCTGGGCCTTGACCATAATGGCAGTAGGGGGTTCCCAAGTGCTGGCATCCCGGACAGGAGTATCTTGAAGGAGTTGCTGGATGATAGCCGTGTCATCAGGTGATGAGTCATCACTTTCTTTCCAGAAGCTAGTCCAGAAGTTTCGTAGATGCTGCACTGCTTTGTTAGGATCCGGTTCAGGGGCTCCTTGCACGCTGATGTGAACATTCTGCGGTTTATTTCGACTTTTCAACCATTTGGAAGCATACTTGATATCATTTTCGATGCGTTCACGCCACTGGGCCAGCCGTCTTTCTCGGACGGACTTTTCAAGCTCAGCAAGAGCAGGTCTGGCATCATTGAGCTGATACCAGACATGGCGCAGACTCCATCCTTCTGATCCCAACCGCAGTTTTTGATCAAATTTTTGGCAGTGTTCTGAAAGCGCCGCTGCACACTGATTTCAGGTTCATTGATGCTCTTCTGCAAACAAACGCTGAAGTTCAAACAGCCGGGCAACTTTGCGTCGAAGCTTAGCGACCTGCATATCTCCTTGAGCCAACTGAGGATGACAACGTCGACGCTGTCTAGTTTTCAACGAGGGCATGCGCCCTTTTATTTGCTTTTGTTTGAGCCTTTTGCCAGCTTCAGCTTGAATCACAGGGTGGTTGTTATTAGCAGCGAGATCAGAGAAAGATTGTCTCATGAGAGTGTCCAAGAGGACCATGAACCTATCCCAGTCCGCATCAACATCCACCATATCAGCAGAGACACTACTCAGAGAGTTCTTAAAAGCCGAAACATCGTCAAACATATTTTCCCAGACCTTCTCAACATGCTCTCTCCAAGTTTCTTGGTCCAACCCCGCCGGTTTAGCCCAGTTAGGACCCATTTGAAAGGCTTGAATTTGCAAATTAACGTCCCTGACAGGAATCTGAAGGCAGAGTGGGACATGGTCAGAAACATGCAATTCAACGCACTGAGGTTGCAAGCAAAGACTATGATCATTACAGTTGAACCAGTCAATTTCTCGGTCAGATTGCCACCTAGTACCACGGTTGATTTGCAAGGTGGTGCCCCCTTGAGCAACTAAGGCCGCCGCAATCGTACTATCACCTGGAATTTCATAGGCATCACCACAGAAGAGCCACCTTTGAGCCTGACTCTCATGCAAGATTTCTGTAATCTGTTCAGCAACCTCGGTTTGGGCATTGTCCCGTCCGTCGAGTGGATCGGTCAGGGGGCGCATAGAAAGTGCAAACAAACCAATCCTCAACCCAAATGCCAAGCGTTTGACTGCAGGAACCCAGCTTGTACAAAGGATTGCAACATGAAAGCCTGTTATCAATCAACATGGCAACTCCTCCTGCAGCGCGAGGTTGACCCCACCTATCCAGAGTGGTGTTCCCTGCCAGTTGGTAAACCTTGTAGCCACGACGCTGCGCATCCCTGTGAAATGCTTGAGCCTCATAATCTTTCATCCTGGTTTCTTGTAAGCACCAACTCCGCAACTCATCAGTTTTGCAACTACCATGTTCCAGCAAGGCCCAGGCCCCCGTGGCAGACTGGACATTGCAACAGTAAACACTAATCTGATTGATTATGTTTGCAGGGCCAGGGTGACTGGCCTCACCAATTCTCTCGGCTTTGTGGCCCCCGTGTCGGAGGTCTGCCAGCTTCTGCTCCCCCCGCAAGAAACCAAGCTGCTCATATCCAGGAAGAACATGTTTGTCAGAGGAAACACTTCTATAACCGGCAATGCGATCAACAGTAAGGTGAGATTTAGGAATGATGTTGGTTTTCCTCCAAGTCTCCCCATCAAAAGCAAGACAAGTCTGAATCGCAAGAGCATTGGAAGGATCATCAAAAATTATTTTTCTAAGAATAGTAATAGTTCTTTTAGGAGCCACCTCAGTAGTTCCACATGGGGTGCGCTTGAATTTCAATTGAGTACCCGTGATCAAACATCGAGAACACAAAGGGAGAACAATTTTGTGAGCATCAGGGGCACCAGGTTTGGGGCTGATCCAACAGGAAACCGGGACGTGACCTTTAGCTTCCGCAACCTTGGCAAGCCTCTTGTAATTGTTCTCCTGTGCCTCCCGCAGGGTCCTGATAGTGCCAGTCTTGGAATTGAAACTTTGAGCCGATTTGGGGTCCAAGTCGGGGTGTTGAGTTTTGAAATGTTCCATTTTGCTCCGTTCCAAGTTGCTTTTAATGCTGATGTGGGGAAGCCCAGCAGAGCAAACTTTGCAAGTCCAAGAGCGCTCCTCAAGTGGGATGTGGACAGAAGCCTCATACACCTGCGTGACATTACCTAGACGCGCGCGGATCCTAATGCTCCTACGCTCTTCGCTGGTGTGCCGGGTCTGCAGGTGATTGCATTTGAATTTCAACAAGCGTTTGCGGGCGTTGGGGCCGGCAGGGATGGTGATGTTGAGCTGACATAAGGGGCAATGCCAGCACTGATCTTGCTGAGGGCGTGAATCCGTTTCAGCTTTCCGTTTGGTGCCTTTGGGAAGGCGGGGAGAGGCCGCGGTGTCCGGTCGAAACCCTTCTAAGTTGGTTGTGTTAATTTTGTTTTTATCCCTGTGTCCTTTTGATTTAGTGGCCTTGGTGTCACCTCGGTCATGCAACACCTTGGGAGACTTGCCGACTGTCTGGGCATCCTTATTGCCTCCTTTTTGACGAGAGACTTCGGTTGCGATACGACCTGTTCTCAAACCTTTAGGACCAGGCCGAGCTTTAGTCAAACTGAGTTTCACACTTCCCGAAGATTCCGAGGGCAAAGACAGTACTGAACTCTTGCCAACATCTGAAGGTGCAAGCGACAACATGTCAGCCATGCTAGAGTCACAGCGACTTTTGGCTTTACATTGTTTCTTTGGTCTCCAGTTCCTCACTCCAGGTGCAGAAGAAACACGACTGAGGCAACGTTGCGACGCTTTGCTCGATCCAGCCGGTAGGGAAAGAATTGAAGATGCCGAGCCGCTAGGCAAGCTAAGGCACTGACTTTTGGGCCCTCTGGACCCCTTGGAAGAGGGGAGACTAAGCGCATCACCATCATCAGAGTCGTCAGCGCTCTGACTCTGTCCCCTGCTTCTTTTGTTTGCAATTGAACAGGCAGTCGAAACTTCCTGTTTCGATTTAAGCTCCGAGCTGCTGGCTTTTGTCGAACCTGGGGAGCGAGCAATTCCTTTTTTGAGTTCGAGAATTTTTTGCTCCTTGGTTTTAGGTGCAGCACCTCTGAGACAGCAGCGGTGCTGTTCACTGGTTTCTTGAAGCCACACAGGAGGAGTGGCGGTGTCAGCTGAAGGTTTCAGAAGAGTCCTATAATGACTATCTTTCAGAAGCAGGAGAAGTGGTGAGAGTTTGCAGTCAGGCGCTTTACCATTAGCTTTCCCGGACACAAGAAATCTTTGCCAGATACCTTCCGACTTTCGCCATTTGAAAATCACAACATCTCTTTCAAGTCTCTCAGCCAAAGCCTTCCATTGAAGACCATCAATCCAATACCCTTGATTAGCAACCCAATTAGTGTACTCGTCAAAAGTCTTGGCCGGCTCAGCCATTCCAATGGCTTCATTTGGCTTTTCCAACAAATCAGGAGCCCATTTGTCCTTAAATTTGGGGTGTTTTTGAAGTTTCCCAACCGTCAGAACCCTTGGCAGCCTCGCGAATTATACCGCTGGGAGAAAGTGTTTTGTTTTGTGACTGAGCAACTGACAAAGCAGCACTTCTATATCCACAATCCCCATTGCCACCTCCATCCTTGATGGTCCAGGCAGGTGAAATGCCGGCCTTGTTCAAGTCCTTAAGCAGGATAGTGTCAGGGTCCTCAGGTTTCACATCATTTTGACCAAGAGAAGTCCGTCGAGGGGACCTTTCCCGGTGACCCTTGTTTCCATCTCCATCTTGTTTGTCTTTATTGTCGTCATTTTGCGAATTTTCATCCGCAAGTGTAGGAGCAACCTCCTCATTTTTGGATGCATCTTTTTGAAATTGGGGGAAATCCTTATCTGACCACATTTTTTTGGGTCCCCAAAGCCATTCCACTTCCCGAGGTTTTGGTTGTTTGAATGTAGTCTCATGGACTACAGTGAGGTGCACGTCACCATCCACATAATGAAAATAGGGCTCCGCTGCGCTGGCCCCTGGTGGTTCACTGGCTTTAAAAGCCACTCATGGTTGTATCATGTTGTATCCATTTTGCAGTTACAGCGTCTCGTTTTGATTTCAACATCAGTGCAGAGTTCCGAGGACAGAAATTCATGCACATGACGGCTTTGCCAATGCCTCGGACTGTTCCTTAGCACCCAAACCTTAGGCCCTTTGTGTGGAAACCACTCATGGTTGTATCATGTTGTATCCCCAGCGTCTCGTTTTGATTTCAACATCAGTGCAGAGTTCCGAGGACAGAAATTCATGCACATGACGGCTTTGCCAATGCCTCGGACTGTTCCTTAGCACCCAAACCTTAGGCCCTTTGTGTGGAAACTCTTTAGTGTCCCCAGCGACAATGCCCAAGTCAGCATTTCCGCCCTGTCTAATGGCAAGTGGCTTGCCCTGGCTGGCCCCAAGGCTCACCGCAAATTTCCAATAGTCTTCCCATGACATGTCAGACTGCTTAGGTATCCAAGCGACTGGCTTAAGAGGGTTTTGTTTGGTTGGCAACACAGAAGTGAAAATAGCACCCTGCCCACTCTTAGAGGCAGCTTTGTCTGCCAGCTCTTTATCCACTCGAACATGTGCAACAAGAAACGACCCATGTTTGTGATTCAACCGTTCCCATTTTCCTCCTGTCACCTCAGCAACTTTGCAAGGTGTTCTCTGAGCCACCTCCGCCAAAACAGTCGCTGGTGAGTCCTCAACATCAGAGCTTCGGACCATCTTCCGGTAAAATAAAGGACACATGATTCGCAGCGTTGCCACTTCCGGAGCAGCTTTATGTGGTATGGTGATCTTTTTTCCTTGCTTAGGCACAGGCCCAGGAACGTCGGTCATTTGAACCACTTTTAACTTGTGCAGCTTAGGTCGAGACAAGGCGGGTTTTCCCCACCAAACAATCATGGGTGGACCTGAAACGGTTTCGCCAGGAAGACTTTGTAGAACTTCAGCAACAGTGAAGGCAAGCTTGCTACCGTGAGCTTGCCAGAGAGTCTTGATTTGCTGGGTCACCCGATTGTCACGGGTGATTAAAAGGTTCCCCGGCAACTCACTTCCGTCCTGAAAAGCTTTTTGCACTTGGTTGAGGGTACAGAGCTTACTGCGGCGGTCCACTCATGTTGATTATAGTGAGAGGCACAACTGGGTCCTTTTTGCGTTTGGCTAGGACTCTGCCCGTTGTTTTCAAAACCAAGAACAGAACTTTGACTCGGCTTTTGGGATCCCCAACCTTTACCCTTTTTAGGAGGCGGGAGATCATTGTCATTAAAGGTCACGGTCCTTTTCCGATCATTGATCTGTGCGCGCAGCTTTTTCCGCGGTGGTCCTGGGTCTTCATCATCCCAAGTTTGCAACCTCTCAGTGTTTTTTTCTGTAGATGGTATGTCTAGAAGGAGCAGGTCTCTCATGCTCGTCAGAATTTTCATGGGTATTCAGAATTTTGCCAATAGTCGCAGCAACTTCAGCATTGGATTCTCCATTGTTCATGCACTGTTTCAAAGTGTCTAGTAGGACTCTAGCCAGAGACATGTCATGAGTCTGTCTGTGATTCGTTTGTTTGGGCACGTTTCCGTTTGAAGTCCAATCAGCAAGGAAATTGGATAAAGCTCCAGCCAGGTCATTTTTTCCATGTCCTTTCCCTTGTTCTCGGCGCTGCCTTGTAGCAGCAGATCCACCTTTTCCACCCCTGAGGCCTCTAATCCAGCCATTGTTCCCTTGAGCTTGGGATCCGCTGGAAGGAGAAGTGGCAAGATTGTCATTGGTCTTGTCAGGTGCAAAGTGAGGAACAATAAAACAAGCATCCGGCCAGGCATGTGCCCTTTGAGTCCCACTTGGAATCCAAAAACATGCCTTTTGCAGTTCACATTGATCATGCCATGTCCTACTGAATCTCCGTTTCTGGATTTTTCGACATGAAAAAACACATCTTTGAGCTTTCGCCGTCTGGCGTGCCCACTGTTTGATCTGAAGCTTGATTTCACCCAGCGTCCTTTCTCTTTTTTTCTTTGGTTTAGTACCCTTCAGACTGTGGGTCGCAAGAGTGAAAACAGGCGCAGCTGGCAAAAAATTGGCAGCCGTAAACATCAATCCGATCCACATCAATTGCAAGACTGGTTCCTTGAAACTTCCGGCAAGGCAAAAACAGCCGACCGACAAGAGTGAACCGAGCCATTCAACATCAAGACCTAACATGTCAGCACAGCTAGGTTTCTTCCCTTTCATGCAGTTTCCAGCTGGCGCAACTGGCAAACAACTACCGACAAGGTACCAAATGAGCAACAGCAAGAACTGTGAAATTGGTTCCACCAGCATTGTAGAGAGAATCAAACATCCAATGCAACTTCCGATCAAAATAAGCCCAGCATCAATTCCCAAAAGGTCCCGAAGAGCAAGGTTTTGTTGTATCAGGGCAAAAACCACAACCAATCCCCAAACTCCAAACACAATGAACCACCAATTCTCAGGGGCGGTCAAAGATGGTTCAAGTTTGTCCAGTATGTCCGGCCAGTCTTCTCTGCTTTGAGTACCAGAAACATTGCAAGGCTGGTTGCCAACAAGTGCTGCAAAGCTGCCGCAACATTCATTTGCTGCAGCAGCCGTTGCTGCTTCTGCTGCCGCTGCTGCTGCATCCACATAGCTCAGCCAGCATCGCCATGGCACCGCAGAGCCGTGCGCTCCGCCGTGGGGGCCCTGACTGGGGCCTGTCGCGTAAAGTAGTGGGAAGTCACAAGTAGTGTCTTCACCAAAATTCGCAAAGATTGATGGCAAAGCGCCATTGGACCAAACTGGCCCTGAAAAGCGATCCCTACCGGCTGTTTCAGCCATTGAGGTTACCGGATCTGTGTGAACCGCCTGTGCTAAAGGCAGCAAGCATAAAGAGCTGAAGAACCCTAATGCCCATGCCATATGGTACAGAACCGTCATCAGACGAATTCCTTTTTTTGTTTTTCTTTTCAGTGTCTTTGTGATTTTTTCTTTGTTTTTCCAATTTTTCCATTGAATTCCCTTTGGTCCCAAAGGATCCTGTCATGCCAAGAGGCATCTCGAATTTTCTCCTCCAGAGTCTTGTTTCCTTGTTCTTCTTCATCTTTTGTTTTTTCCATGTCACAACTCGCAGGTTCTTTGCCCTGCGAACCTAAGGACATACCAAATCTACAATGAACATGCAGAAATTTAATCACTAATTTCGCACCGAGGAGGCCCGCTGCAACCAACTTGGGGGTATAGTGCTTGCAACTAACTACCTTCTTAATCTTGGCTCATCCTTTCCGACCCTTTTTCCAAGCGAGTCCAAGCCGCAGAGGATCTGCGCAGGTTGTCTGATGGCGGTGGCACTTTGGCCGCATCCGACATCCGAAGTCCCCAGCACTGCATTGCAGGAGTGCAAATGCCCCACACAGAAACACAAAATGCGGCGAAGGTATCTAAGGATATCTGAGGAAGATTTACAGTAAGGTTCATGTGACAGGGAGGTTCCTACAAAAGCTGTGAGATCTGCACATGCGCTTCGCAAGCAGTTTTGAAAAGAAGTTGTGTGTTTTGACTCCAACCCACGCGCTGGATCAACTTGTCTTAAGTTGATCCTATGACTATATTACTACGCTACATTGATCTTGAAGGATTGACAGGTCTTCTCTGTTCTGTTCTCTTAAGACTCAAAACTCGCAGCGAATCATCCAAA